TGGCTCTGGTCCTGGCTGCGTCCTTTCTGGAGTGGACCTGACACCTGGTCCCACTGCACCCTGATTCCTGGGCCTACTAAGCGCTGGTCTTTGCTCAACTCCCACCTGAATCCCCCTCGCCTGCCCTGCACACCCAGGGGGCTTTGATGACTCGGGGGCCTCTGCTCCCTTCCAGATGCCACTCCCACCTAAGGAGTGGACTGAGGTTTTGTTCTAGCTCCTGGACAGGGATTCAGATGGACGGCTGTCCCTAGAGCCACATGAGGGTCCACGGGGTGAATTCACGTGGCCAGAGAGACACCCACAGGTGGACCTGCTGCCAGGTGGGGTCAGAGCCAGGCCCTGGCTGTGCCTCGACTCAGGAGGAAGAGCCACACTGCCTGCCACTGCAGACCTTTTCCTCCTCTAGGGACACTGGGGTCTGAAAGCTGCAGTGTTACTGTTTCCCCCTTGAACTTGGAGGAGGAGCCACAGCATCCAACACTCATTGACACGGAGTTGGGGACTCCACGTCAACTTTGAAAACCTACGCTTCAGGAAACACCTCAGGATGATCATGTAGACCCCAATGCAGACAGCTGAGCCCGACAGCCGCGATCTGGAATCCCGGGGAACCCAGATGAACCTCCAGGGACCGGGCACAAACTGCACCTCCTCGGTGCCAGCTGGAGGCCCTGACTCTCCACCCAGAGCCTGCCCAGGTCCTCTCCTCTCCTCAGCAAGAAACCTCGGGTCCACTCTCACAGCACCCGAGGAAGGGAACCCTCTCCCACCCAGCGGGAGGCCCAGGGTCAGCGCGACCTTGCTGCTGAGGACCGTGCGGAGCGGCCATCGGTGCCTCGGGTGAGAGCTCCTTCTCCCCGTGGAAGGGAAGCTCGTCACTCGCACTCGCCCTCGGTCCCAGGTAATGCGGCTGTGGAGGGTCCGCGGACCTCACGGGCCTGGAGGGAGGCTCAGCCTACTCCAAGCCAGCAGTGGGGCCAAGCCTCCCTGCTCTCTTGAGGAGATTGATCCTCTCCCTCCGTGAGCAGGAACAGCCAGACCAACCTGCTGAGGTTCCTGAGGAGGGGGAACCTTCTCGAAGCCCCAGCTCAGCCTGGCGTCCCCCAGAATGTATGATACTGACACAGTCATGACCTGGAGACCACCATGGGCCGAAGGACAAACTCACTCCTGGGCCCTTAACCGGTTACTCATGAAAAGCACAGTTTGTGTTTTCTTCTGAGATAGTCAGGGACTTAAAAGTAATTTTTGCTAAAACCCGTGGCCCTTCACTCAGGTCTGCACATGCCCAGTAGGTAACTGAAAGGAGAACGAAGCTTGGCCTTTTGCGAACCTCTGGGTCAGATTCTCAGCTCTGCGTATGGGCTTGTTAGTCGTTTAGTCTTACAGTAGTGGAATGAAGTTTGTTGGCCTTAGATTTACATAGCCTGTTCCATTCATCCTTTTCAAGATGAGGACACCAAGTTAAAACTGGATTTCAGGATTCACAAGGACATCTGATCACCAGCTTTTACAGATCCAGTTCCAGACTCTCCCTGAGTGACACTTGGAGGTCTCCAGCCATTGTCCTAAATCCATGCTCACCTGGTTCCAGAAAAGCAGAGCCTCAAGGCCAAACCATCACAGATGGGGACCCGGACGACTGGTTCATGGAACAGAACCGGAACCGGAACCACTGCCCAAGGCGAGGATCCCCGCAGACCGGAAGCTAGGACTGGATGTGATCAGCTCGTGATCAGGGGGACCCCAGCCACTGCAGCTGAGCCTTAAAAGCCACCTCCTGCTTCATGGGTGCGTAGGCCGGCGCCCTGCATGGGACCGGGCCCCTCAGCTCCTCAGGCTGAGTTCTCTCCCCGCCACTCCTTTGCTTGGAAGGGGACGGGCTTGGTCTTCGTCACAGCTGTGCTCCCCTATATTTTCTCTCCTAATTAAAGTTTTTGTGAATTTATGCTTTAGTTTGTTTTTTAATAAATTAAATTTTTTCCACATTTATCTAGAGTTACGATTTCTTTTCTTTTTCTTTTGTTTTTGTTTTTTGAGACAGGGTCTCACTATGTAGTTGAGACTGACCTGGAACTCTATGTAGCCCAGGCTGGTCGAACTCACAGCGATCCTCCTGCCTCAGCCCCCCGAGTGCTGGGATTACAGGCGTGCGCCACCACGTCCGGCATCATGCTTTAGTTTTAATTTGGGGCCCCATGCTAGCTGGTGGCGAGCACCCTCTTCTTGGCGAGGTGGTGCTGCGGATTGGACCACGGCCTCCGGCACAAGACCTCATGCTTGTCAGGCAGTTGCTGTGCTGCTGAGCTGAATCCCCGGCCCATACTGCTTTTTAAAGTGAGGTGAATAGTGTGGAGAGCATAGTTCCAGTTGGAAAAATAATATGTTTTAAAATGTTTCGATATGCATTGGGCACATCTGGAACCAATTATAAAGAAATGGAGGGGGGCGGCGTAGACTCTTCCATTTTATCCTATTTGAAAAAGTTAAAAGTATAGCATACTATTTTTATAATGTAAAAAATGGGCTTAGCACAGTTAGATTTCCCGAATTAGGAATTAGAGACCTTGCTGTGGCCTGTGCTTGGCCACGGGTGTCTCCATCCATGGCCTGCGTCCTGCCCACGGCGGGCATGCTTCCGTGTGAACGTGGCTTTGAGGATAGAGTTTCACGGCTTAGAAAAGAACATTAGAGAAACGCCCTTGGGTGGGGCAGGAGGTTTGGGGAGAAGCTTGGCCAGGTCCCCTCCACGAGAGTCCCCCTCTTGTAAACAAGGGTGAGGGAGGGAGTTAGCCTGGCTACGGGTTTCCCTAGGCCTTCCATAGCCAAAGGCTTTTATTTCTATGTCCTGTTTCTAAGATTTCATTTGGAGACCGGGGTCTGTAGGCACCCCCCCTTTTATTAGATAGGGTTTCCCTGTGTAGCCCAGGCTGGGCTGAAATTTATGATCCTCCTGCCTCAGCCTCCCAAGTGCTGGGATTACTGGTGTGCGCCACCACACCCGGCACTGTAGTGCTAACACACACTTCCACGGACGACCTTGGGGCCATGAGTAGGTTTGAACCATCCTCCCCAAAGGGCGTGGCTGTGCTTCTGCAGGAACTCCAGCCTGTGGGTGGGTTTGTACGGGTGTCTGCGGGGTGTAGCCAGAGGTGCTGTGCCAGAAGCAGGGGCTTGGGTTCTCCTCGGTGGTGACTGGGGGGGGCCCTCATGCTGTTTGGGCCCTCAGATCACCAGAATCAGATCACCAGAATCCTGCAGTGAAGTTGCGGGGGGGGAGGCGGAGGGAGGGGGAGAGAGAGATCAAACCCAGGGCCACACACATGCTAAGCTAATGCTACCGCCGATTACATTCCCGGCCCTTTTATATATGTATGTATTTATTTTAAAAAATATTTTTGATACCAGGGATTGAACTTGGGACCTTGCACTTGTGAGGCAGGCGGAGTGCCACTGAGCTAAGTCCCCGGCTCCTTTATTTTTAATTTAGAGCAGGGTCTCCCTGAATCGCCAGGCTGACCTGGTCTTGCTGTCCTCCCGCCCCTGGGTAATCGCTGCATTGCTGGGCCCAGGGCTACACCTAAAGCCTGAGGTGTTTACTTAGAGCCACACAGCGTCCCTGGCAGCCCTCCTGTCTAGTACTGGGGGCTGCTAATGTCAGCTGCTAGAACTGGCATTGGCCTCGATCCTGCCTGCGGGAGGCTTGTGCAGCAAGGCCGGGACTCCCACCGCTCCCGCCCCAGTCCAGCTCCCCACGCCGAGTGGAAGTGGCGAGGGGCTGGAACGGGCATGGCCTCCCGGGTGGCAGCAGAGCCAGGGCCAGGCCTTGGCAAAGGAGGCAGGAGCGGGTTCTCTTGGTGGCTCTGGTACCTGTGTGCACACCCCAGGGAGTCCTGCTGGGTCCCATGGAAGCACTCCGCTGAGGAACCTGTCCAAACCCTCACTTCCAGGAAGGGATCGAGCTGTCTGCAATGCACCTGTCTGACACCTGCTGATGCCGCCAGGGCTTCGCGCCTGTGCACAGGTGAGCTGAGGTCCCTGCAGGTTGGAAAGGGGGCGAAGAGCCTCCCCTCCACGGCAGTGGGCTCCAGTGCACAGAGACCGGGAGCCCAGGGGTGGATCATCGGCCCAAAAGAGGACAGAGGACCCCATTCCTTAGAGGCGGGGGACCGGTGTCCCAAGCAGCTGCCACCTCAGACGCTGGCCTGTGAGCTCACGTGTGGTCAGTGTGGGGAAGAGGGGACCACTCGCTGCAGGCCCTGCCCTAGCCTGGCCTGGAAAGGCCTCTCGGGGGCTGCTGGGGGCAGGCCTGGAGGGTCGGTGGGCTCTGAGATCGGTGAGTTTGGTGGCTACCATCTCGCTCCTCCTCGGAGGGAGGGAGGGATGGAGCGATGGTGCCCAGACTGAGATCTCCGCGTTTTCTCTTCATCAGAGCTGTCTGTCCTTTCTCCTTCCCACCTCTCTGTTGTCCCTGACTCCACGTCTCTCTCTCTCTCTCTCTCTCATTCATTTTTTTGAAACACTCTGAAATTCAGGCTGACCTTGAACTCACTGTGTAGCCCTGGCCAAGAACTTGCGGTGATCCTCCTGCCTCAGCCTCCCAAGTGCTGGGATTGTAGGCGTGTGCCACCACGCCAGCTGCAGGTCTCTTTCTTGTGGCTCCTCCTCTGCCCCCTTTCACTAAGCGTCGTAGAATCTGGGAACCAGCACCAGAGGCCGTCCCCGGGGCCGTCCGTGTGCCCTACTTTCCACTTTGCTTTTCTCTCCACTCACACAGATCGCTTCACTCATCTGCTCAGCACCCTGTGCAGAGACGGGACCAGCACCCTGCTTCACAGAGGACCCTGGGGTGCGCACAGGGGGTGCGTGCAGGGGTTGCAGCTACACTTCGAGATCTGGGCCTGTTGCAGGCTGCCCGGCTTCCCCCATCTGGAAGCAGTGGGGGCCACGGGAGGGGATCCAGGCTCCAGGAGAGAACACGGGGCCTTGTGATTTGGGGCTCTGTGCCCGTGCCCTGCAGTTCCCGCCGGTCCTCAGTGGTCATTTTACGAGCCCCCTTCACAGTCTCCAGCCAAGGACCGTAGGCCCCATGGCGCTGCCGTGGGAAGCCTGGTGGGCACTGGGCTGCTCCCCATGCTGCCTTAGACTGGAGTCGGGGGCTGCATCCCCAGCACCTGAGGGAGGGGTCCGGAGCCTCCAGGTTGGTGCCGGAGCTGGGCCTCAGGGAGACGGCGGAGCAGCCTGGTGCCCTGAGCTGTGTGTCTGTCCGCAGTCACAGTTAGGGGTCCCGAGCCAGTCGTCTGCCGCCTGGAGCCCTGCGTATAAAATGGGTTCTGGTGTTGCCATGGTGACCAGTGACCCCAGTCTCCCCTGCGTCAAGGCCTTACCTGTGCAGCTCATCCTTCAGTTACGGTGGAGGGCATCTGAGGGTCGGGGGAGAGCTTTTCATTGCAAATCCAGGGTCCGGCACAAGGATCCTGCTTCCTTGGCTGGCCACGGCCGAAACGTCCACTCGTGGGCACCCACTGCGTGGCTGGCGTGCTCTGAGGCACTGTACGTGGATCCGCTCGTCCCATCACCGTGCCACCCTGTGGGCACTCACCTAGGATGGGACAGGAGGGCTCTGCGGCCGTGCTGATGCCTGGAACCCGTTAGCAGGAATCCAGCCCGGGCAGCGGGCTTGACAGTCAGCATGGGTGGAAAAAGAAGCAAAGATTTTTTTTTCTTAAAAAAAGAAAGTATAACAAACACTCAAAAATGCGCAGAAATGGGAGATGTTCGACTCCAGGAATACTGCCCAGGCAAGTGCTGCTAACTAAGAAGTAAACAGGTCAGGATTAGGCTCAGTGGTATTGTTAGGGTTTAAAGTTTCACCTATCTAGTGGATGTGCAGTGTATCATTCCTGTTTTTCTTTGTGTATTTATTAAATAAAGCATAACTGAAAGCAAGCTTTTTTTTCTTTTTTTTTGGTTTTGTAGTCCAGACCGGCCTTGAGCTCTATGTAGCTCAGGCCGGCCTTGAACTGGAGATAGTCCTGCCTCAGCCTCCTGAGTGTTGGGATTACAGGTGTGTGCTCCAAAACAAGTACTCAACACCCGTGTACAGCTTCTTGTGACAATCCTGTGAGTTGGGGACTTTGCAGATGAGTGAACGCAGGCAGGCAGTTACTCCCTGTGCTCCTCTGTAGCAATCTGATTCCTTTCCTGGGCCCTGTCCTACTTTCCCAGTGCTGTTAGGGTGTCCGGCCAGGGAGGAGGAGGAGGGAGAAGCTGAGGCATGAAGGCTCCGACCGGGAGGGGCAGGGCCACAGAGAGGGGCCTGTGCTGAGACCCACACTGATAGGGAGGCTGTGTGTGCAGGGGTGGCGGGGCCTCTCTGCAGCTCAAGCCCTCTTCCTGGGGGTCTACAGACCCCTCTGGGGGGTTTCTGTGAGAACTTCAGAAACTCCCTGGGTCCAGTGGTCCCTCTGAGAGGGTGGTGGCCCCTCATTCCCGAACTGGCAGAGCAGGGAGCAGGGCCTCCAGGAGTGTAGGGAAGGCACAGGTGTCTCCACATCAGGGCCACCCGCAGCAGGCAGCCCTTCCCTCCAGTCACGGAGAGCAGTCCCGGGCCATGGCTCGCGGTGCCAAGGCAGGAGGTGTATTTGGCACACGTCCGGCTGCACCGGTGGCTGGCTGTGTGCTCTAGGGGAGTCTGGTAGCTTCTCTGGTTGGTGACAGAACTCTCCCAGGTGCAGCACCATTTACTCTGCTGGTGTCCTGTGCAAGCTGCAGCTAACGAGAAAGATGCTGGGGGTGACCTTGGGCCTGGAACCACAGAAAAGAAAGCCCGAACTCCTAGACTTTGGCACTGCAGAGCTAGAGGGTGTCTGAGCTCTCCGCCCTTTCCCCCTTGTGCAGATGTAAAACTGAGGCTGACGAAGGGGATGCAGCCTCAAAGCTGGCAGGTGTTGGAGGAACCCGGGTTCTGGCTCTGCATCGTGCTCCCCCTGCCCCACCTCTGACCCATCTTGGGGAGGACCTGGGCCCCACGCCCAGCACCCAGGCTGGACCAGGCCTGCTTGTGTTTGTGGGGTTGCTATGGAGAGCCTGGCTTTGCTGATGGGGTCCCTGCCAGGGTGGGACCCTGGAGGGGGAGGGCAGCTGTGCTCGGGGACGGCCGGTGTAGGGAGCTGTGCCCCTACTCGGTGTGGACACAGTGGACAGTCGAGGACAGTGGGACGGGCCGGGCCAACCCCATACCACAGGGTTACACGTGCAGGGTCAGGAGGCAGACTGGAGTCCAGCCTGCCAGAGAGGGGGCCCGCTCAGTGCCAGTGAGACTCCGAGCCACGAACCAGCACAGGTGTGGTGGGAGGAGGATGGGAGTGGCGGATTTTCCCCATCCACGCATGGGGCAGCCGGGACGGGGTGCTGGGGCACAGCTTCATTTTCTGGCTGAGCCCTGGGCTGGGAAAGGTGGCCGGGAAGGAGGGCTAGGCCGTGCCTTGGGGTTCTCAGGAGGCAACACGGCTCCTGCAACCACTCCTTGGGCTCCAGAGTCTTCTCAGCCAGGCCCTCGGGGCTTTTTGCCCCCAGTGGCTCTGTGGGAGGCATTTTCTAGATGGGGAAATGTTCTGAGAGTCCTTCTAGCTCTCCTGGGGCCAGGGATTTAGCTCAGTGGTTTGGGTGCCTGCTTAGCAAGTGCAAGGACCCCAATTCGATCCTGGTACCAAAACAAAACAAAACAAAACAAAACAATTCCAGCTCTCCCGCATGTGAATCTGGCTTGTCCCGCTGCGGCCAGTCCTCTGGGAGCCTCCAAGTAGTGGAGAGATGCAGGTCTGACCACCTGTGGCTCTCCTGCCACCCGGGTCCTGCATTTTCCAGCAAGTCGGGGGAGAGGGCAGCCTTTAACTCTACTACAGGTGGGTGTTTTGCCCGTCTCTCTTACTGCAAGGCCCTGCTTTGCAGACAAGGCACAAAGGGCTTAAATAACGTGTTTCCGGCTCCCTGGTGAGTCCAGGTGCCAAAGCTGGGGTTCGGGTCCAGCCCAGTCAGACAAAGGTGACCCCTGTGCTCTCTGCTTGGCCATGAAGAGGTGGCCCAAGGGTCACCTGAGCAAAGGTGTCCAGCGCCCAGACCGGCTCCTCCCGGTGTCCGGCTGAAACTCCTCCGACGCCACGGCACCTGTTCACTTCCCAGATGGATCCATTTAGGTTCCTGTTTTCCCACAGCAGGCAGGGAGCGCCCGGCGGAGAGCAAGGCCTTGGCCATCTCTGTGCCCAGGAAGGAGCCCAGGCCCGGAGCCCAGTGCGTGCGTCCTGTCCACTCCTGTCTCCTTGAATGACCCCCGACGGCGATGGGGTGGGGAGGACACAACAGGAGAGATGGGGGCTCGGTGGGTGCTGGGGTTGAGGGGTGGGAGTCGGTGTGGTCTGCACACTTTCTGGGCTCCCATCCTCCGAGAAGCCCAGGCTCTGGTCCCAGGCTCCAAGCCCCGCCCTGCTGCAGTCTTCACAGTGGCCAGTAGGTGGCATCGGCTCGCAACTTTTTGGTTTGTCCAGCGGTCCGCACCGGGCCCGTTTCTTCCTCCATCGCCCCAGCAGGCTGCACTTGCGCCAAGTAGGAGGCCACCATCCCCTGCGAGGTGAAGACCTCTTCCCTGGGGTAAGACGCGGAGAGGGGGTCCGGGAGCTGCGCTGCAGTCTGGCTGCTCTGAAGTCTTCTAGGAACCTCCGCAGCGGGTCACCCTGACGCCGGCCCGCACCAGCAGAAGCTTTGGGGGCGGGGGTGAGAAGGCCCCCCCCAGACGGAAGCTAGGAGTTGGGGCTCTGCTCGGAATGCTCCTCCAGGTCTCCTCCCAGGTCCCAGCCTGACCGGAGCGAGGGTGGGGGACGGGCCACCAACAGGCTCTCTCGGGGCGGCCTGGGTGAGTTAGAAAAAGTCACCCCTTCCTACAAAGCCTCGGCTGCCATCTGCTGGGAACCGGCGAAGCATTGCACAGAGTGGTGCCCCCTGGAGTTGTTCCCTGAGCAGCTTGCACAGTGCACGCCGCAGTCTCCCACCCAGCAAGGAGGGCGGGCCGGGCGCCCCGCTTTCCCAAGTCGGGTCGACTCCGTCCCGGGGGGAGGGCAGGGTGCCAGGCCCGGCGGAGCTCTGGGGAGGCTGCGGGGGCACATGGGGAACCGGCGAAGCATTGCACAGAGTGGTGCCCCCTGGAGTTGTTCCCTGAGCAGCTTGCACAGTGCACGCCGCAGTCTCCCACCCAGCAAGGAGGGCGGGCCGGGCGCCCCGCTTTCCCAAGTCGGGTCGACTCCGTCCCGGGGGGAGGGCAGGGTGCCAGGCCCGGCGGAGCTCTGGGGAGGCTGCGGGGGCACATGGCACATGGGG